GGAGGCTGTTTTAAATAAAACTTTACTTGTAAACTGATTATAGACCAACAGTTTACTAAGCACTATAATGTATCTAGCCCTTTATAAAACAACCCTGCAACGTAGTTGTCATCAATGCCATTAACAGATGAGAAAAACTAGGTTCAGTGAGTTTAAGGAACTTGCTTAAAGATCACACAACCAGTTACTGGTGTCCCCTAATGTCCATGAGCTTTCCACTGTATCTTGCTGCCTTCCACCAGTAACTAAAAATTAAAGTGGAAAGAAAGTTCCTCAGAATTATCATTGTCTATGTTTAAAGGAAAAGGTCAGTCTTTTTCCTATTTAAAATGCATTGATGCTATGCAGTAAATTAAAAGAACTGAATTAGGTCTGTATAGAAGCAGGGACTTGGTCTGTTTTGTTCACTATTATATTTCCAATGCCTAGAACAGTACCTGGAATATAACTCACATCCAATAAATATGAATGTTCCTTGACTGTTCCTCTAATCAGTTCCTCTCCTTCAGATATGTATCACCATAGGTAAGTTTGGCCTTTTCTTGAACTTCATATAAATGGGCTCATATCTATAACTCTAGTGTCTTCTATTGTTCATTATTTTAAAGATATTTACCTTGTTATGTTTATCATTTTTTTTTCCTTTTTTGCTATAGCTATGGTATCTTACTATTTGAATATACCATAGTTTGTTTCTCCATTATTCTTTTGATGGACATTTGAAATATTTCCAGTTTGGGGATATTATGAATAAAGATATTAAGAGCATTCTTCTACAAGCCTTTTGTGGTCATTTACTTTTCTAGAAGTGGGGTTTCTGCGTCATAGGGCAGGTGTATGTGAAACTTGATAAGCTGGCAAATAGTTTCCAAACATGATTGTATCTTTTCTCATTCTACTAGCAACATGTAAGTGTGAAAATGAGATTTTTACTACTCCTATTACTTTCAGAGCACAAATTGAATAAGGTCTTTGCAAAGTACTGATTTTTAAATCTCAAATAAGAATAACAAAATCTGAAATGAAATCACCTCTCTGGAAATTCTCATGAGAGACAAGAGATGAGCTTCTTAGGATGCACAGCTTTATCTGACAGGCACAACTTGAGTTTTCCAGGACAGCAAAATGCTTATCAACCCTGGCACAAGTGTCAATGGATCCAGCCACCAGGGATCAATTTCTTTCTCTCTTTTTCCCAATGCCTGTAACTCAAACCTCACAATGATGAGTGGAGAAGAGGAAGGGAGTATTAGAAATGTGAAACTCTAAGTTCATTCATAACAAGCATTTATTACACATTATGTGCCAGCACCTTGTTTTTCAGTTGCATGCAAGCTAGTTGATGGATACAAGATGGCAACTCTCCCTCCACCCATCAGGTAAAGAGGATGTTCTGGATTCTGCCCTTTGCCTGTTTTGTGTTCTATCCTGCATGCTCCTCCTGGGTCATCTCATCTGAGCCCATGCTTTCAACATCCCAGCAGGCCTCCCTTCCAAATCACACTGCCTAATGAGCTCAATCAATGCTCTGGACCTGTCTTCCAACTGCTTCTATCCTTGACTCCTCTTTAATGCTCACAATTGCAATATGACTCATCTGTAAATGTGTTAACTGCACCTGTAAAATATATCCAGGATATATGATTTGGCACCACTGCCCTCTCCAGTACCCTTCTCCAAGTCACTGTCTTCTCTGGCCTGCAATATTCCAACAGCTCCACCAAGCCTTCACTTTCCCTTCTTTTCGAGAAAAGAAACTTGAATGACCTCTGGGGAATGTAACCATGAGGGTTCCAGCAGAGAGATAATCAGAGAAGAGCTTGGTAACTATTGTATATAAATGTGTGGGCAAAATTTAGGGTAATAATGGTATCATACTCTAAGCTGCCAAAAGAGGGGAGCCATTACCATCTCTAGGCCAAGGGAAGGGAGACTTTCCCAGAACAAAGAGAGGGCGTTTTATGTAGAGGGTCACTTGACAGAAGCCTCTGTAGATCTATGTAGCCAACCTGCAGTGACCTAGAAGGGAAGAGGCCTATGGAATAAATGTCCTTATTTCATCCTCTACCAACTCTCTGATCTCCTTCTACTGTCTTCTGTTGGATAAATTCAACTTTAAGTCAGAGGACAAAGGGCCCATTGATGTAGTATGCAGGTCAACCTCCTGAGGCACAGACCGGAAGGAAAAGAGTGGAGAGCAGATCTGAAGGGATCAACAGAAAATACCTTATCCAGAGAGTCACCTGTCCCCAATTCTCAGTTTATGAGATTTGACAAGTGGTGCCCTCATCTTAGCTCCAGAGATCCAGAGCAGACACAGGCCCAGGCTATCAGAATATTCCATGTCCCTTCTCAAGGGAGTGGTTTAGTGATGTGTAAGTAACCCAAGTTAGACCAATAAAAGTCCCAGGACTTTGTCGACAGCACTGGAAAAAAGAAATTATTCTTCTGTGGGTAAGTATAAAAGTATAGATATATTATTTGAAATTGTAAGCGGCCATTCTGCCATCTCGGGGGGGAAGACAGTTCGATTATGAAAAGTCAACACAAGAGAAATGAGTCAGAATATGGAGAACAAAGACTAAATCCTGATGTCAGCATAGTTTTAAATCCCTGGATCCAGCCATGCCTGAAGCTCATAACTCTTCTGTTACATGAGTTAATGGATTCCATCTGTTGCTTAACTTAGTAGAAGTGGTTTATGGCATGCAAAAAAAAAAAAAAAGCCTCTTGAATAATGTTTAATACTTAGCTCCCCAAATCAACAAAAAGATAGCTATATGTCTCCAAATATGCCATCATTCCAATGGAATGCCCTTTCTCACATCTTCCACTTAGAAAACGCCTACTCAAATATCTCCTTATCTGGGAAGCCTACCCTCAATTTTCCAGATGGAAAGTGCCTTGTCAGCATTCTGCAAATGCCTCTACACGTGTTTGTATAAAATCATATCACAATTGTTAGTTTCTGTCTTCCAATCTGTGAGCTACTGAAGGGGGAGTTTTGTGTGGACCTTCCCTTTGCAGGCCCAGGCCCAGCACAAGACTTAATATCTCAGAGAAACGGGGTTCAATAGGCTAACCCTGTCTTTTTATTTTAGAATCCTTCAGAGCCCTGTCTGTGCTAATGTGCAAAATAGACCCCAAGCAGGGGTACAGAACACAGCAGCTTCTTAATCATTGCCCTAAAAATTCCATTTTTGAAGACGTTGCTGTGCTAAAGGAATTCAGAGAGGGAAAATTACTGCAGTTCTTTGGGTGACCTTGATGAACAAAGTGAGACTGCATAAATATTTGTTAAATGAATGAAAAGGAAGAATTTGTTTAGGTCGAGATGAGGAGCAGCAAGGTTGGAAAAAGCAGAAACAACAGAAGCAAGAAACAGGCTGAGACAGCGCCAGGCCAGCCACTGAAGAGACTGGGGTCATCACCCCAGTCCCTTAGTTTAAATCTAATGGAAATTAGATGTATTTTATTTTATTTTTTTTAAGAATTTATTTATTTATACAAGAACTGGAAATTAGATGTATTTTACACATTGAAACCTTCTTCCTGCCCCACGGCCCAGGTGCTGAGTGCTTGACAACATTGCTTCCTTGATTCTGACCTTCGATTTGCTTCTCTTTGCCTCCAAAGGGGCCAATGAGAGCGGACTTTCTTCTAACTGCACAGCCTTAAGGCACTGTCCTTCCCTGGTCTGTGCCTTTGTATCCCTCTCAGTGAACTCAGGGAGGAGAGGCAGGCTCCCTTCCAAGTTTGGGTACAGACGCCTCATAAAATGACAACAATGACAATAATAGTAATATCTGCCAAAGAAGCTCAAGGCCTGCCAATGTTGGACAGCTGACGCCTTTGCTCTTCCCACCCGCAGAGCAGGCGCCTGCATGCCCACTGCGCGCCCTGGGCTCCCGAGACCATCTCGCCAGACTGGGTGAGAAATGTTTGGTAAACGGAATACAGAGCATTTGAGGTGTAAATGTTACCTGTATTGAACTTAGGGAGGAGGGGGTGGGAAGAGAGGGCGGTGGGAGAGTAGGAGGAGGGAGGAAAAGGAAGCCGGGGGCGGGGTGCAGAAAGGGGGCGCACAGTGGGGGAGCGCAAGGAGGGGCCGCTGCAGCCCCGGAGCTGAGGCTGTCAGGTGGCGCCCCTGGGTGCTTCCTATAGCTCAGCTAATAGCTGCCTCTCCTCGGACAATTACACACATGGACGCCCTCCTCGTATATAAAATGTGGGTAATAATATCCGGATCGCCGGCTCCTGTGAGGGTAAATGAGGTGAAGCTCGCGAAGCGCGCGGCGCGGTGGACACAGTAACAGGCCCTCGGAACGTGTTGCTAGCGTCCCTCACACCCTGGTGGGCGCCCTGAGGGCTGGTCAGCGGGCACGGGAGGCGAACTGTCTGATCCCGGTGGAGGACCAGAAGGTCGCCAAGGGTCCTGCAGTCTGGGGGTGCAGGACCCGCCCCAGCGTGGCAGCCCGAGGCCCCGCGCGCCGGGAGGCTGATCACCCAGCTGTTCGGGTGCAGCCGGGCGGGGCCGCTTCCTGCCGGAGGCCGAGCCCGCGCACCCCGCGCACCCCCACTCCAACCCCGCCCCGGCCGCCTCCTCGGGCGCCTGCGCCGCGCGCGCTCCGCCGGGGAGGGCGGGACAGACGGGCGGGCGCGCGCGAGGCCGACAGCCGCTGCCCGGGGCGCCGCTCGAGCCCCGCGGAGGCGGCCGCTCCCCCGGCGTCGAGGGCGTGGCGGCGAGGCTCCCCGCGACCCGCCCGCTCGGCCCCCCGCCGCCCCCGCGCCTCCCCAGGGCCCCCGCTCGCGCGCAGCCCCGGCCTCGCCCCTGCCGGGCAGGCGCGCAGGTGAGTCTCCGCGCCCAGGGTGGGGCCGGCGCCTGCTTCTCCCAGCAGGTTTTGCTGCCTGCGCCGGGGCGGGTGGGGGACTTGGGGTGCGAAAAGTTAAAAAAAAAAAATAATCCGCAGGTGCCCGGGAGCAGCGGGCTCTCCAGTGCCCGAACCCCTGGAGACACGGCCGGCCCTGCCTGCCGGCTGCAGCCCGCCCCGCGCCGGGGTCCCTGCTCTGGCTGCTCGCGGTGGTGTTTTGGGGAACAAAACCGGAGAATTGTTCCCTCCTCTCCACGCGCAGTTGGCTTTTTGGAAAAGCTGGCAGGCCAGACAGACCTACCCCCTGGAGGCAGCAAAGGTGCGTTGGGTAAAACCGGGAGGGCCAGGAGTGGAACCCCCTCTCTCTGTCTCCCTCCCCCCCGGGTCCCCAGGATGCCCGGGCTGCCGGGGCGTTCGCCAACTTCGTGAAACTTGTGGGTCTGCTTCCATCTGCCGCCGGCGCCCGTGCAGCAGTAGCGGTCTGTCTGCTGCGTCCCAGCTGCCGTGCAAAATCTGATCCTCTCCTGCAGGGATTAGGAGTCTAGTGTGGGGAGCAGATCAGATCGTGTTTCACATGCAAACTAGGATTATTAAAAAGTGGTGGTGTGGTGCAGTGCGCAAGGCCAAAAATACCAGCTGCCCCTTACTGAAAGTTACCTGGCACAACGCCTTTATTTGAACTTCCCGGAGAACTCTGCTGCATGTCATTGAAATCTAGGATGTACTGCTGGGTAAGAATTAATTGTGGCTCTGGTTACTTGAGATTTTAAAATTATTTTAAGGCTTTTATTAGCTCTGGTTCAACATAGTCCAAAAAAAAAAGTTTTAAGACTTAGGCTATGTACAGAATGTAAGACCTTTACAGATGTATAGGTCATATTTTTTGGTGGGGCGTTTATATTGGTTTTCTAGAATGGATTTTTGATGCAGAAAGACAGTGAAAGGCCTGTAAAACAGCCCCTTTAGCCAGTTTTCACAAGTCTTACCATATTGGCAAAACCTTTCTTTTTTGGTTTCAGGGAAAATTTCTGTGTTCTTAGGGAAAATAAGATTTTCCCAGTGTTGAATTGTAACATTCGTAAAGTTTTAAAACCTGTGGATGTTAAGGATTGCAAATTAGAATGACCTGTGTATGGTGCTGGAAGATTTGTTGGTTGAAAGATTGAAACTATTATGAAAAATACTGTGATTTGGAAATCCGTTAGGATGAAGCCTGTGAAACTAAGGAAAGCCTTAAAGTTCTATTGTTACTTAGACCCCCAAAAACCACAGTAGAGACAGATCAGACTGTGGAGCTCCACTTTTCTCTAGAATGGAGAGATATATTGAGGGAAATTGAAATGTATACAGAAAAACAGATAACATCAATCTTTCACATCTGCTTTCTTTAATGCCTGTCATTTTCTATGTTCTCATAATTAATTTTCATTATTTGTTTCTGTTATCTTTCCCATGTTAACAGATACCACTATTTCTAGTGGGACACTGAACCTCAGTAATTCTATTTGGACCAAGTCTAGACTATGAAAAGAAACTTGATTTCATAGGGAAAAAGCTAGAAATCTGATTTTTTATCTATTTTACTGTTGCACCAATTTAAAAAAAAAAACACATTTACTAAAAAAAATGGTAAAAGTGGCTGAGAGGTTGGAGAGAGTAGAAGATAGAGACTTGCCTGCTGGCTGTTCACATTTCCCACTTGCACAAATCCTCTGGGTTTTTTTTTTTTTTAAAGATATTTCGTATAAATTTATAATTTAGAAGTATTTAAAAGAAATTTAATAGTTCAACTGCATCTGTGAGTGTTTTTCTTATTTATATCCAAGAGGACTAACAAAACAGAAAGGCAAGTGACTTTTTCAAGGTTATTTAGCAGGGCACTTGAGAGCTGGAAACAGGGTACTTGTGTGCTCCCAGAATTGTTTACTAGTATTTTAAACTCCTCAGTCAATCAATAATCAATCAGTCAACTTATCAGAAAATAATAAAGTATATCAAGCTAAGGAACCTCAAGTGCTTACCAAGTTGAGAAATGTATGATCTTGAAAAATTATTTTTTTAAAAACATCCTGGAAGAGGAATTTACCTTTTCCTGATAAGAAATTAAAATGCAAAGTCAAATCCATGTGATTTACATTTTGGCTCCATGGATCACGTTTGTCACAAGGCTTGTTGTAGCAGAGCAGATGGTCATGCTACTTGGAGTTTTCCACTCATTTGAGGTTTCCATGAAGAAACAATTTGCCAGAAGCCAGCCACAGCTACAGTTGCGCTGGAGATGATGCTAAACTCTGATTAGCACAGACCTTTGCTTTCAGAAGCTGCAGGATACTGGTTCAGCCCTTTCTGTTGAACCAGTGTTTCCTGGAATTAGTAAACTGAGGGACAGCTTAGTTTTCTCACAGTTGGAGTGGGGCAGAGTTAGCAACAGATCAAATAATAACAGCACAGAAACGGAGTGTTGATAATTTTTCTTTGCCTCAGTAAAACCAAGCTACATTTTAAATGCCAACAGGTTACATTCTAAGACCATTTTTTTACAGATTGGCTAGGACTGTCATTTCCATGGGCTGACTTGATCATCTTTCTTTCTATTCAAATGTAACTGCACTTATGATGTCAGTAATTATGAAATGATTGACAGTGTTGACTAAACGATATCACCCAAAAAAAAAAAAAATCGGTGACTCCCTTTTAGCAAAAGAAACACTGGCAAAAGGACAGTGGCTCCAATACTGCATCACAGCCCCAGCTCCCTAAGGCCCACGGGAAGGCACCATGGCCTTTTCCGGCTAGCTCTCTGTTTTTAAATCTTTACATGTTTTCATTCTGGGGCCACATTACTACTTCCCGTGGTTGCCCTGGAGCTCTTTGTATTGGCAGGTCGGCTTCTGGACAGTTTCACTGAAATGATACCGAGTGTTAATTTGCTGACCTTTTTGTTGTTTGGAAGTGATCATTTGGGGAAGTATTTTTCTTGTTGTGGTACTCTCGGCTCCACCAGTGGTTCTGATACTGGGGTCCTTTTACCCCAACAGCACATTGACAGAAAGCATACCTATGTAAAAATGATCACTTACTGAGAACTAACTATATGCAAAGTAGTATTCTGAGCTCTTAGCATGTATTCCCTCCTTCCTTCCAACACCCTTACTGGGTAAAGTTGTTATCCCCATTTTATAGATGAGGAAACAGAAAAGGAAGCAAAGAAATTTACCTAACAGAATACTGGAGAGTAATGTAGTATTAGTACTAGTTCAGATCTGGAAAAGTCACTATGGAGTCTGAACCTGGAATGGACTTAAAGGCTGTTCAAACTTAATTAGTGTGGTATTTTATTAATCTACCCTTTTAAAGTATATCAAATATACAGAAATATGTACGTGAGGAAAACAACACTACCATAAAAATTACTGACCTCTTGGGACAAAAGGAAGCTAAGTTAACAGTCATCTTAAAGCAGGCAAAATAGCTGTAATGGACATTATTGGAATAACTGGCAAAATCTGAATATAGACCCATTTAGGTAACAATATTATATCCATGTTAAATAATTTGATTTTGATAGTTGCACGGTAGTTATATGAGAAAGTGCTCTTATTCTTACAAACTGAAGTTCCTTTTTTTTTTTTTTTTTGTGGGACCCTCCCCCGTGGCCGGGAACAAGCTGCTGCTGCAGAGGCTACAGGCAGCCTCGCAGCCCAGTGCTCAACCGCTGCGCCACCAGGGGAGGCCCCAAACTGAAGTTCTTAAACACTGGAGTAAAGGGGAACACTTCATCTTACTCTCCGTGGTTCAGGAAGAAAAATGCATAAAGAATGATTTTTAAAATGGCCAAAAATGTAAATAATTTGTCACCTGTGTAAAGGAATTCCATATACTATGCAGACAACTTTTCTGTTTGAAATTATATTTAAAGAGTTATACAGAAATGAGGGTAGCAAACAGGAAATGAAGTTGTAACATTCTAAGAAGTTTTTATAAGTCAGGTAAAAGATTGTTTCCTGTGCTCAGATTTTTTTTTTCTCCTTTCTCAAGTTGGAGGAAGGAACTTGAAACAAACAAAAAATCTTATCAAAAATAGCTTGAGTTTCTCAAGTTTAAAAATCTAGTCTATCTGAGCTCCCTAAATCTCCAGACTCAAAAAAACCAGGTGTGGTATTTTCCTCATCTCTGGGGTACAGGGAAGATAAAAACATTAGTGCCTCTAAGAGAAAAGATATAAAGACAGCCCACTTTTACTAATACTAAAAGTTAAATTGAGCTGGTTATATCACTTCCCAGCCTAACAACCTTCAGTGGCATGAATGGCGTAGCTTTTAACTGTTTTTTTGTCTTTTTAATGTCTGAATCCAGTAACTCTACTTTCAAGATTACCTGGCCCACCTCTGCCTGTCTGACCTTGTCTCAAGTTATCCGCTTAAAACATGCCCTCTAGCCACACCCAGATTTGTGCGTGCTTCCTAATTTTTCCATGATCTGCTTGTCCGCTTTGCCTGGCACGCTCCCCATTCATTTCCTGCTGAAATTCTGCTCCTTTGTCTCCATAGCCTCCTTTGGGAAGCCGCCTCTCGTCTCAGAATTGAAGTTTCCCTGTGGGATAACACAATGCTATCTGCTTTCATTTAGCAGGTCTTATTAAGCATATACTGTGAGCTACTGGATGGCAAAGGCACGCATGCTCTAGTAGCTAGGTGTGATTTGTAAACAGATAATCATAAATGATTTATAAATCAAGAGAAATGTAACAGAGAAATGAACAAAGGACTCAGAGCTATGAACTCTGACAACTGTGTCTTAAAGAAAAGATTGGGGCCTCTCTGGTGACGGGAGGGGTTAAGTTTCAACACTATGAAGCTTTTGGCAGCCACTGCAGCATGAGTTCGATGCCGGGCCTGGGAGCTGATCCACATGGTGCAGGAGACCTCTCCTATCTCGCCCTCTGCTCCCCTCAGCAGTGTATTTCGGTAGATCCACCTGTTCCGCCCACTCTGTCTCTGGTGAATCCCCTCACCACCACCCCACCCCTCCAGCCTGCACCCCAGCACTTGTATGCATAAATAAATAAAACCTTTAAAAAAAAAGATTATAAGAAGATACCTCCCGCCACCCCCCACCAGGCCCATTTCCAGATTCAGATTGGAGATTTCCAGCACAATAATCTAATTAAAGGAATGAGTTTAAAAGCCTAGTTGACTGTGGGCTATGCAGATACAGTAAATGGAAAGCTAAAAATACACGCCTAGAACTTAGGAGAGAGGGGAATGTCTGGATCTTAACCTGTACAGATCAGTGGTTTTCTGTGTGCACAGGCAGGAAAAACCTAGGGGCACATCAGGATCTGTTGGTGTCATGTACTTTTTCTTAACTATTCAACTATTCATTCCCTTTATTGCTCAGAATTCTGTTCTTCCCTCAGCCCCCCACAACTTTGGTCTCATCCTTCCTTGCTGAAGAATCGTTTTATGAAGCAGAGACAGTGTCAGTCCTCTTAGGTTGTGGGTGAACCATAGAGGGAAGCAGGAAGCAAAGGTGACACACACTAGCGGTGCAGTAGTTAAAATGTTTGGGGGGCCTCCCCTGTGGCGCAGCGGTTGAGCGCTGGGTTGCGAAGCTGCCCGCAGCCTCTGAAGCACCAGTTCCATCCCCAGCTGCTCCCCGGCCACCAGAGGAGGGTCCCACATGGTGCACAGACCTCTCCTGCCACCCTCTGCTCCCCTCAGCAGTGTACTTTGGTCCTTCTGCCTGCTCTGCTCCCCACTCTGGCTCTGGTGAATTCTCTCATCCTCCCGTGCTTCTAACTGTACCCAGTGCTTGTATAAATAAATAAATAAATCTTTAAAAAAAAAAAAAATGTTTGGGTGTGGCTGAAACCACCCAGAAAGGGTAAGAGGAGGAAGAGGATGGGGATGAAACCTCCCTTCGGGAGACCAAGCTGTAAAGGGTGAGTGGAGAGAGGAGCCAGCAGCAAAGACAAATGGTGAGGAAGGACAGAGACCCAGGGGTGGAGGCGCAGAGCTAATGGGAGGGCAGCAAGGTCAGGCACTACAGAGACAGGGTGAGGCCTCCCGGCAGGTTCCAATCCTGGGAAGCATGCACCAGCTTCAGGAGCGACGGGAGCTGAGGAGGTGGATGCAGCAAATACAGACTGCTCTTTGTAGAAAGTTGGAAGGACAGGTCTGGGACAGACAGACAGGTTGAAGCCATGGTGGAATCCAAGTAGCAGGTCCTCATTTTTTTCAAGATTAGGGAGGGGAGCCATGAGTAGCTATGTTTGCAGAGGGAAGGAACTAGGTGGAGAAGTTGAAAGGGGCCAGTTAATGGAACAGGCCTTCTTGGTGTGTTAGCATCATTGAGAAATTCTTGCTTTGATGGGAACTTCTTGAGGACTATGTCTTACTCAGCGAAGGGCCTCCGGTGTCTGGCATGCAGCAGGCTGCAAGTGAAGATTTTACTTTTTCATCTTTCCTGATTCATATGGTTGAGTTACAAGAAAAACTGTTTTCATTCTATAGTAATTAACATTCTGCAATGAAATCTATATAAAACAATACATCTGCCATTTATATTTTTGAAATAAAAGGAAAAATCCAAATTATGTAATATTGAGGTAGTAATAATCATGATCAGTTAAGTTTTTATGTGCCCGATAGGTATTTCTTAAATTGCATTTTGGCATCTTGGAATTACTGTGCCCAAGGCACTCTGCCCACTAGGCACGGGGTACATTTCACCTGAGGAGACAGACACACGTTTAAACTGTCCATATGAGACAGACCCTGTTTCATCATTTAACAGAGCGACACTGTCAGCTCTCTGCCCTTGGGTTGAAATTAGTGGCTTTTTAAAGTTCAGAAAAAGGGGCCTCCCCAGTGGTGCAGCTGTTGAGTGCTGGGCTGCGAAACTGCCCGCAGCCTCTGCGGCGCCGGTTTGATCCCCAGCCGCCGGTGAGGGTCCCACATAGCATGCAGGCCTCTCCTGCCGTCTGCTGCTCCCCTCAGCAGTGTACTTCATCAGTCTGCCTGCTCTGTTCCTTGCTCTGGCTCTGGTGAATTCTCTCACCCTCCGCGCTTCTGACTGTACCCAGTGTTTGTATAAATAAATAAAATCTTCAAAAAAAAATCATTTAAAAAAATTTTAAAAAAAAGTTCAGAAAAGGGACATCTTGTTGATTGTCTTCTATGTCAAATTTTGCCCTCTGTAAATATTTCTGATATCAACAGAGACCAACTTGACATAGAACTACTCATTCTGGGTAACTTAATTCGAGCGATTATTCATAAAGAACAAGATGGTTAAGGGAGGTAAAGCCAGCTCAAGGCAGACCATATTCAGGCTGCAGATGGCAAGTGAATCAGTGTGGGTTTTGTTCTGCTGTGCCAGTTTCAGTGTTTAGACCAAAAACCCAAAACAAATATGCGAAGACAGTTCTGGTCCACATTTTCCTTCCCACTGCTTATAAATGAGTGTACATATTGATGTTATCTCATTTTATGTTGTCCCTGTGTTTCCCCAATATCACTAGAAAACTTAGTGCCTTTTTTGGTATGATATCATTGCCAAGGAAATATGTAAAATATGCCAAGCAAATCAAATTAGTAGATATAGAATCTGTTTATGAGGACTATAATGCATTGATTCAACTGTTGATTTACTTTTCCAGAATTAAACTGCTTTATTCGATGAATTGCTCTCTCAAGAATTGATCGGAACGTTATTCAGACATCAAAGCTCTAGCTCTGTGTTTTGTTTTTGTTCTTTTTGACAGTAAATGCCTGGGAGACATCTTAGAACTTTAAAGGTGGAAAAACCCTGCTCTTAGGGGACCGTGCTGAGGACACTATGAAATCTTGGAATGATAGCCAGTCAGACCTCTGTAGCAGTGACCAAGAAGAGGAAGAAGAGATGATTTTTGGTGAAAATGAAGAGGATTTGGAAGAGATGATGGATTTAAGTGATCTGCCTACCTCACTTTTTGCTTGCAGTGTCCATGAAGCAGTGTTTGAGGTACAAGAGCAGAAGGTAGGCACACCCCTTTTCTTCCCCTGCATTTGGAGCCTGTTGAGTGTGTGTGGATTCGGGGAGACAGGCCTGTTCACAAAGTTTGTTACTGATCCATGACCAGTACAAAAAGCTGTGCATCGACCTTTAGACATTACTACGGCATGTTTATTGTGTTTTATGAGTGTTGGTCTAAAACAAATAGGCAGTTTCTAAAAACCAGTTTTTCCCCCACAGATATTTTGAGGAGTACTGGTTTATGGTGGACTCTGATTAAGTCTTGTTAAGTCCATTCATTTATTTGTTTGTTCATTCATTTTTAGCACTTGTAGTTAAGGAGAAACTAGTGCTTTGGCTTCCTAGTAGAAGTAAATTCACAAAAGAAGGAATTATTTTAAGCGTTCTTTCTGGGGCCAGTTACATAACTTGGACTGTTGATGATTTCCTTGTAATGGAATGATTAACTTTTCTTGGATTACTTTTTACATCTTGCCTAGGGTGGGGGCTGGGGGGTTACTGAGTTATTTGTTGACACTCACTGTCCTTTAGTTCATTTATTATTTACCTGGAAAGAGAGAGGTTTAGTGTATGTGTTTTCTTTTTCCATGATGACCTCACAAAAAAAACCAGTAGGTCTTAGTCCTACGAAAGTAAAATACTCTTGCCATTGCTGTAGATTTTGCACATTCTAAGAGTGTTTCTCAAGATGCTGCCGCCAGCCCTGTGATTTTATATCTGTGCACTCAAGTACCTTCCTTCCTGGATCCCAACTCTGGATAGTGTGTCTTGCCTCTTACTTGAGTGCCCCGGGCGTAGAGCAGAGAGTAAGCAGCCTCTGCCTTGGATTGTTTTCCTTCCTGCAGTAGAGAAGATGAGTAATTTGATATAAGATCGAGCACTGGTGCCTGTAGAGACACTTGAAGGTACCTGAGTGGGCAGAGGAGAGAGGCTCTTGCAGGGGGGCGGCCCTGGGAGAGCTGTGTGGCCTGAGTAGTTTAGGGGGAGAGTGGGTACTGAGCGCCAGGGAGCTGCATCAGGAGAGTGTGGGGCACGGCAGGGAGCAGCAGGCCTGTCTGCTGGCTGAGGTGCAGGGGCTATGGAGCCAGAGTCAGAGAAATTGGCCTGGGAAGGTGAGCGTGGGCAGCCCGCAGAGGTCAGAGCTGGCCTGCCAGGGTGAAGCATCCTCTGAGCTGAGCAGGGATGCCCAGGATTCCACATCAGGAAGGTCAGCCTCAGCCTCTGGGGGCCAGCAGTGGGAGGAGGTGACATGGGCCAGGAAGGGCGCTCTTGCTGCTAACCTGGCCGAGATGCTGCAGGCCCTGGAGTGAGGCGCAGCAGAGGGATGACAGTCCCATGGTGCATCGGTTAGTTTAGTCATAAGGTAGACGTTAGAACCATCTTTCTTTGTAAGAGTTTGAACTTTCACCTAATAAATAACTAACCTTGTTTATTTGTTATTGTGAGAAATCACATGTATTATTACTTTATCTAAAATTTTATAGGAATTCTCTCAAGAAACCTCATACTCTGTTCCAACTTTTACTTTTTCATTTTTGAGAGCAGTTGAATTCTTGTTGGTTTTCATAAAAAACATTTGGGTTATATGGGCCTCCCCTGGTGGCACAGGCGGTTGAGCGCCGCGCTGTGAAGCTGTTCACAGCCTTTGCAGCGCCGGTTCAATCCCGGCCGGCCCGGCCGGCTGGCGAGGGTCACGCATGGCACGGCAGACCTCTCCTCTCGCCCGCTGCTCCTGTCAGCAGTGTATTTCGTCAGTCTGCCTGTTCTGTTCCCCACTCTGACTCTGGTGAATCCTCTTACCCTCCTGCACATCTTGCCTGTACCCCGGTTCTTGTGTAAATAAATAAATAAATAAACTTTTTAAAAAATTGGGTTATAGCTAACCTAAATATATTTTAGAAATCATCAGCAGAGATTCTGGTAAGTAGTTCAACAGACTTCACACTATATATGATTCTTAGTCATAGTAAATTTTATATAAAAATCTTAGTGGTGATATCTAAAATAGCAAAACATAAAAATGTTTATATAAGATTACATGTGAAACAGCAGAAAGTGTGGGGGAAATCAAATGCTTCCTTTCACATTTGTCTTTTTTCATTATCTTGTTTTGCTTTAATTTCTCTGAGAATAGCCTGTTGATGCAGGTAACCCGCATGTGTGCAAAAACAAAGCAAACAAAAACCCCATGTCTGGTGGATTATAGCAGAATAATCCTGCTTGCAATGAAATCTTTCATTTTCAAATGAATGTTAAGTTTTTGATTTGTTTCCTGGCTTGAAGAGGGTTTTGTCTTTTTAATTTTAGAATTATTGGATGAGCATGTATCCTCTCCTGCAAAGGAGACTAGATAACACAGCTACCACTTTATATGCAGGTGAATCTTCATTTTAGATTGTGGCGTTTGGCTGTACATTTTCATGTGTTTCTTAAATCCAGTGCGCATGGTATAAGCCCTAAGAAAAGTAAACTGAGGAAATGCTTCTGAGGAAATGCTTCTATTTCCACATGCATTTTCACAGCCAGGTGTTGTCAGCCTCCATGCTGCCGGCCCAGCTACCCCTGCAGCTCATCAGAACACTGCAGGTGTGGTGCCTGATTTTTCTACAACACATTTGCGTTTGTCCCAGTGTGATTTTATTTACTGTCTGTTGTTTTTAACCCCATTTTTTCCTTTCTTAAAAGGAGGAAAAATTAACATGAGAAGTTTGTAATAAATCAGACAAACATCAACATTTGTTCTTGTGATAGCCTCAGCACCCAGTACCTGGCCTTCCTGTGTGAGGGAGTGAGTGGGTGAACAGTGAGAAAGAGTTCAACAGGACACACACATGCACAAAGAAATCTCAGTGGAGACCAGAGGACTGGGATAGATTTCCCAGGTTACTGTTAAGCACCTGGGCAAGCCCAAGAATCAAGCCTTTTTGATCTTTGTGCATAACTGTCCTTAATGAATCTTGTCTTGCTGCTCCACATTTTCCTTACATACTTGATATTTCCCTTTCAGCCATTTCCAGTTGTTTTAAGTGACTCCTCATCTTCCTGTGCTAGTCACACCATGAATACATAAACAATAAAGCATTTTTAAGACCCTCAGTAGTTGATTTTAAGAAATAACAAAATCAATAAGCACAATTTAAAAATCTCTTATGTGAAAATATGTATTTTTTCATTTAAAATTAAACCCCAGCTGTCCTCTTCAAGTTCATAGCAGAGTAACAGTGTTCTCTGCCTCAAAGGGTCAGGAGTCATAGAGGAGCTTCTGGAGACTCCTGGATGTGGACACTGATTTCTTTACCCAGCGGTGCACTGTGATATGCAGCGCGCCAGGGAGGGCCTGTCTCCTAGGCGACTGCTCCTGCAGCCGATGCCTCTGGACTACTAAAGGACTGTCAGGGAGGGCAGGTCCTCATTTTCCATTGGTGACCTCTGCTGTGTTTGCTGGCCTGTTCATACTGTGTCACCACTGTGCATTCACCTCCTTTCTGGGGAATCCACATCATACAGAAAAGCAGCCAATTTTTGTGACCACAGACTAACAGGTGGTCATTGGCAAAGCCCAGCCCTATTTCTTTTAATAGCAGTACCCTCTAGCCATGGTGCAGAATGCTGTGAGTATTCATTCCTCTGTCCTCAACAGTGATCCAGTAGGGTGGATGCTCTTTATTATCCTAACTCAACAGTTAAGGAAACTAAGAACAGCAAGGGTAAATAGCTGCTTGTGGTCACATGGCTGTATCATAGAGCCAGGACTCAAAACCAGTCTAACTCCAGTCTTCTGTTAGTTGAGAAGATAAATGGTTGGTAGAAACTGTCAGACCTCCCTGAGGCTGTCTGTCCAGGTGGTGGAATCCTGAGGTTTTCCTTTTGTGCTCTCACATTTGAAGACGTGAACCCTCTGGTACTAGGGACAGAAGCAAGTATTTTAACCACGTAAAGGCCAACAAGTGGAAAGCTTCTAGTCCTCAAGAATGGTACCTTCCTACCCCCTCTCAGATGCAGGGTGGCTTCAGTACTTGCTCCTCAAAGTCCATGCTCTGTCACCAAAATCACAGGAAAGACACCCCCATGTTGGCGAGCTTGTCTCTTCTACAAGGATGTTGGAGCATCTCCAGGTGGACATATTGCGCTCCTGACTGAGCAAAGCCCACGGCTGGATGTAAAGGTCAGGCTGAACCTGGGCTTCCCTAACCTTTGCTGCTTCATGGACACAGACCAGGAAAGAAGAGGAGATTCAAGTGAGCCTGCCAGAGCGCAGTCCTGGATCTTCTGCACCTGGCATAGATACACCTTACTGGCCCTGAAAACTGAAGCTGAGTACACAGAACACGGCCTCAGCACCTGAGATGTTTCCCTGAGGAAACTGAAATCGTTTTCAGGTGAATTCGTCATGTGGTGTTCCTCACCTCTGATGTCTTATATCATGCCTGTGTTTGATGAGTTTGCAAACCTGAAGTGTTTCGTGGGCTGCTTTGAGTCTCTGGATTAGATAATTGCCCACCTGTAATCTGCCCGCCTCATCAAGATACCCGTGATGCCCGTCGTCAGCACAGCAGCTCAGCAGGTGCAGAGAGGACACTGTTGAGCAGGGGACAGAATGCCCTGCCTACTCTTTCCTCCAGGAGACCTTGTAACCTGCTCCTCTGTCTTCTCTGCTCCTTTCTTCTCAGTAAACAACCAAACAACCTCTAGGCCAAAAAAAAAAAAAAAAAAAAAAAAACAATAAAATTCATTGCTGCTGCTGGTCCTGTCCGGTGCTAGGATCTCCATAGAAGTCACAGCTGTGATCTTGACGAGTGTGCCTCTCGAATAAATAGTACCCAGAAAAGCACCCCAGAAGTGTTTATTGTTGGACTGCAGGGTTTGAGTATCACTTGATGGAGTGCGGAAGTGCGGTGCCTTTGTCTCTTGAACGAGTGGGTGAGTGTCTGGAGAGACTCTTTTGGCAGAAACCCTGGCTGCCACCTGACCAGCTTCACTGTTCATGCTGTGAGTGGGCAGTC